TGTTGGAGGCAGGAAGCCGGGCGGCGGAATCCCGGCTCATCTTGCCCACTCCCGGCTCCACTCAGCGCCTCTCCTCCAGGCTGGGAGGACGTAGCGACCCTTTTCCCCCAGCTCAGGGAGAACCCCCCCCTCCACCCCCAGCCCCCGGTCCTGCGCCTCTCGTCGCCCCTTCCCCAGCCCCTTTGTTCCTGGCAAACCTGACGCCCCCTTGGCGGCCACCCCTGCCAGGTGCCTTTCGCAGCGCCAACTCTCCTGGCAACTTTTAAGTCCGCATAATGGGGTCAGGACGCGGCCGCTCCCGTTTGGAGCCGGGAAGCCCCCCCCCCTCCGCCCCTCAGGTTGGGCTGAGGATGCTGAGGGGGACGTGTTACTTTGGGATGAGGAGAACATGCTTCCCCTGGGACAGCATCAGCGCTGGTATCTGTGAGCTCCTTTCTGCGCATCCCCACGCGTCCTTTGCCTCCTCCGGTTCGGGCCTGTTGAGGCTTTGGACCTCAGGGCTTTTTATTAGTGGCTCGACGCTAGGTGTAAGGTGATGCGCATTCAAGTACCATGTCATTTCTTCCATCTTGAAGGCATCCCTCCTTCTTGCCCCTGGCAATTTCTAATAACCACGGTTTTAAACACTCGCCCTCTTGGTCGCAAACGTGGGCTTTTTCTTAGTCCCTGAGCTTTTCTGCCTCACTACCTCCCTCTGTTGTCTGAATTAAGGGGCGTGTAGAGGATAGGACACCGCCCCCACCCCTTCCATCCCCAGGCCCAACTCTTCCTTAAGATTTAGGGAATGCTGAGGAGGGGATGGATGGAATGAAATAAAGGATCCCTTGGCCACACTTGGGAGATGTTAGAGCTTTGCTGGAGATCATACCTGAGCATAAACTCTAAATAGATCAGTCAGGGACCAAGGGCTCTTTATCTCTGAAAGTGCCTGTTCTGAAGATGAGGGAGCTCCCTTCTTAGGGCTTGCTTAGCAATCAGACTTTCTAAGTTCCAGGTACATTAGAACGAAAGGTAGGGTGATTGAAAGAGATTGAGGGTGACAGAGAGAAGCTCGTTTTCCCTCTATCCTTTCCCCAACCTTTTCTGCCTCTTATTCTTTGTGGATTTTCCTTTTTCTATTTTGCTTTCCTTTTATTCACTTACTTGCCCCTTTATCCCTCATTTACTTTTTCTTTTCCAATATGTAGAAAGTGCTTTGCAACTGCAAAGCATGGTACAAATGTAAGTGAATTGAATTAAACCTAATTTATTATTTATTGCCTGTCCCCCTGTGTGCGGTGCATTGTGCGAAGGTTTCATGAGGATTATAAAGATGACTAAGACGAAGTCCTGCAGTGGCTCATCTTTTCTGCTGCTTTTTCTCTTTCTGTATTTGCTATTGAAATTCCAATTTCCTAGATTCACACCAATCCTCCCTACCCCCCTTCGTAGATAAAGACAAACATCTGTCTTCTCTGTTTCCCGGTCATGGAAGAAAGAGCTATAGAGTCTATGCAGGAAGCAAGAATGCTTAATTAAAACCCTTTCTTTGAATTTGTCTAAAATGTTATTTTAGTTTGAGTCTGTTGCTGAAATATTCAAAGAAAAGCTATCTGGGCTCCATGGGAGTCGGATTACCTTCATAGATTACCTCTCACAAATTCCCATGATGCTTGTAGTGAGTGCTGCGTACTCCATCTTCTCCACCTCCCACCCTACCAGTTAAGTTCTGCAGGTTCCCCTCTCTCCACAGTTTAGGTTCACTAAGCAATGAGAACATATGATGCACATATTCTGACACACATTATTAGTTTTCCAGTACATTAGGCCTTTGAAAATCTCTCCAGCCTAGAATGCAGCTTCCTTGAAGTTAGGTTAACATTTTTAGCTGTGATTTTAAATGGTTATATTTAAGTTGAATAACTTGTTTTCATACCTGTTGGTGATTAATTTTAAAGCTGTTTGAAAAGATCAGTTAGATAGCCAAGATAGAATTTGTGTATATTTGTACATACATGACTGGAAGACCGTGATGTAATTACCTATATATATTTCAATTCTGAAACTACTTAACTGCTGAAATTTCCATAATATTCATATAAATTTGATTTGAGATATTATCAGAAAATGAGATTTTGAAAAATAATTGGATGAAATGAGCATTTTCTCAACTTGTAACTTACACTGTTAATTAATTTTTTCTTCTCTACCCTTTTACCCAAATAAACATTAACGAAAGATATTTTTAAAATACTTCTCACCCTTTCCTCAGATGCAGTAATGTTTAAAAGTCAACTGCTAATTTAGGCTGTTGCTTTGGGATGGCAAAACCTAATTTAGTGTCGTATAATGTATAGTGATATAAAGGCAGTACCAAAGAATGGACAAGACTCTTGAACAACCAAAACATTTTAGGAGTTCTTCAGAGCATGCTCCTAATGTGACAGTTTCATCATCCTTAACATTTAAAGCATATAGAATATGCTTTCAACTGGTCACAATCATAAATAGTTATAACTCTGTTTAGTAAGCTACAGGCTTTATGTTCTTTCTAGGGTATTTTTCTCTTCACTAAACAGAAAAGGAGCCATTAAGCATATAATAGACATGGCCATATATTTATGATTCTGGAGAATTTATAGGAGTGATACAGAAATTCAGTCATCAAAGAGGGAATTGAACCGGGAAATTGGGCTGAGAAGATTATTAAGCTTTGGTAGCATATATTCAGGATTATTTATGAAGGACCATTTATACATTGAAATTCACTTTGATCTATTACTTTCTATTACAGTATATTTAAGGAAGATGCAAATATAAAATTTATATATTAATTATTAGTAAGGATATACAGAAACACTTGGATTTCTTTGCTCACCTCTAACTCCACTATTTGTAAAATCCAGAACTCACCAGATTTTCTACTGACAAAAATTTGATATGACAGTGTCAGTGTTAGTTCCAGGAAACACATGAACTCCTTATGAGTCAGTAAAATAAGTAGTTATATTCCAGATTATCCTGATAGTATTTCTGGCTATTTGGAGATATCTTATAGACCTTCACATTAATATTAAAATTTAATTTTATAAAAATATTTTTGGAGAAAATCGCTCATCCCTTAGCATTTGAAACAACCCTTTCTCAATTGGAAATTGCTTTCAGTCCTCTTGCAGTTTTGGTAAAATTTTAAAATGTAACCATTTTCAAACTAAATAAAAGCAAACAATTATTGGAAAAAAAAACTGTAGGTAGAAAAGTAGACCAATAACTGTTTCTAATTTTTGCTCAGGCTATTACTCTAAAATCTATTATTTCTCAGATCCTGTCTGTTCATTTGCAGGGCCTGGAAATACTTCATAATCAGTAGTGTTTGAGTCCATAGCCCTTCTCTGCTTTTTTGCCCACTGAAATATAACAAAAACCTCTTAATACTTTATGGCCCCTATTATTAATTCTATTATGAGTTTCCCTTTTCCATGTCACCCCCAATAACTCCAACTTCCTTCTCACACCTTTTCCAACTCTGAGGCTCATTCAGAATATTCACATGACTAAGACAGTTATTTTCCAGGACCTGATCCCTCCATTACATTCTTTCAGTGATCTTTAATCCCTTTCTGGGTCAAATAAAATGATTATAATCTTCAGTCAACCAACAGACCCCGCTTCGCTGACCTTCTTTTATGGTCTCTGTTACTTAGCTCCAGCCGATCTTGTATTACTGTGATTCCTAAAATCTAAATTTTTAAGATAGCCTTTTCTCAGCCAATTGTTCCACTCTTTCCTGTTTACTGTAAACTATTTTCTCCAAGAAGCGTTCCCTGACTTCTAATTTCTGTCCTGATGACTCAGCCATCTTGAGAACAGAGAATGAAATACGTCATTTTAGGTACAAAAAGCAAAACCAATGTTTTGCATACAACCCTATAATAGAAGAAAAATGTAGTGATGAAAAAAGGTCTATTCAGTATAAAAGTTAAATGCTGTAAAGGAGAATGTATCTGATAATGCAAAGAAGTTTTGACAAGTACAATACTCTTTAGTAATTCTTTTTTCCCATCCTAGGACCCAGAGCTGAGGTTGAAATTTATCTAAATTAGATAAAGGAAAATATCAAAATTTTGAATTAAAGTTTCATGAAAGATTAGAAATAATTTTCTGTCAGGACCTTGAAACATATACACTGTAAGAAAAATATGTTAAACTGAAGTGATCAAATTAGTCATATCACTTCCTTTTGAAAAATTAGATTTTTTTAAAAAAATTGCAAGGTGACTAGATAGGCACCAACATTCATCTATTTTGGATCTGGCACTTTTTTGGAAAAGGAATTCTTGTCATTTTACACAAAGAATAAATTTACCTTTTCGATATGTAGGGTTTAGTTCACAAGAAACATTATTTTATT